ACCTTCTCTACCCATACTTGTTATCAGAACTTGTCAGTAACGTAGACCGAGGGCTTCTTTCTCAGTGGCTCAGGTTCTGCAGCGTCGAATTGTGGCATGGTTACTGGCATTTGCTTGGAGGGTCTGAAGTGAACCATGAATAACTATCAGGATATGTAGTCTGCAGGCCGTTATTTGATCCGTGGACCTTCCGATTATGACGGTAGGAACTGGTTACATCTTTGTGTGGACACCCCTGCGCGACTAATGCACTTGTGCACAAAGAGGGATGGTAGCAGGGCCTTGGCATGGCAAGCGGTTCACTCAGTACCAGATTGCACCAGGCTGGAAGTAACGGCGTGAGTCTGTACCCGTAAAAATGTACTTGCTGTTTTTCCACGTTATTACTTCCTCCCTTTTGGGTCCATATGCCCTCAGCACCCTATTCCCGGACACCATGAATTCGTGTCTTCTTCCCTTTTCCCCTTAAAGCCGAGTGGTTACCGTATGCACCACCTGCACCGCCCACAGAGTGTTTGTGTGTTCCGTATGGCTGTTTCCCTAAACAGCATTATTGGTTGGGCTTTGTAGCGGAGACGTACTGTTTCCTGTGAAGTACGGACTGTTTGTATATCATTTAGAGCTGAGAGTCCTAGAGTTCATAAGCATACAAACGAAGATCATATCATAAAACTGTCTGTAGGTTTCTGACCGTGCTGTTGCTTGTAAGGAAACGGCGAAACTCCACCTACTCGTGCGCGATATGTAGAGCGTGTGCACGGGCTTGCAGCGCCATCGCCTGAGATAAAGATCGTCGCGTTCTTCGCTCGGTATGAAGGTCTGCGTCCTCACTTCACTGCACGATACGTGTAACATCGCACACTGGAATGTCATGTTTGGATGCGTGAGTATGTACCGTCAGATACTTTGACTGACGCATGCAGTTGTTTGCGACATGTTGGCTAACCCACTTTAACACAGTGTTCTCGTGTGTGCTGTATGATTCCCCTCGGTTGGTATAGCGGCGGGCTGGACAGCCGGATTTCGATTCCCGGCAGGTATACGATATTCTTCTGTACTCCACAGCGTCCATACCGTCTCTGGGGCCCACCCCGCCAGAGGATACCGGGGTTAATGCAGTCAGTCGGGCCGTGAAGCTAACCAAGAATGATGGAGCTATAGCTCCACTCCTCTATACGTCTTAGTGGCGTGGTGCTTAATTATACTTATGGACAACTTTACCATATGATTCTCACAACAACTGGTCCAGTAAATCCGTTAACAGCATCAACTGTTTGCTCTTAGTAATGAAGACGCAGTGTGTTTTCTGTGAGCTTTATGTTCGAATGCTTGTCTACATAAGTCGTCTGTAAATGGGTTAGAAGTTAGGGGCTAACTGAGAAATGTCTTGAACCGCCAATGGAAGAGAAAGCTCGGGGATTGCAGCTTGGCGTGATCCGTTTCCCCGGTTTCTAGTGAATCTCTCTTCCTCCTCGAAGCTGGAGAGTAGTGTAGCGATAAACTCCGTCCGTAGTTGAGGTTCCCATAGATGTCTGCCCTTTGTCCAAAACTTCATATCACCGACGTGAGGACCTCAGATCCTGCGTAATTGAAGCAACTCTTTAGTGATGACGTAATGTTCAGCGTCAGTCGGTAATGATGGTACATCTTGAAGAATGTTTTAGGCAGAGAGTACCATAACTATAAACTTGAACCGTGCTAATGCTGAGTCAAACTGTTCTGTCGAAACCGTACAAGAATTGGTAAAGATAAAAACTTGTTCCTGTGTTTTATTCAGCATGTATGGGAAGTGGAGGTATAGTTCCACGCATTCCTAATCATTGTATTAGATGAAACTGGATGGTCAGCTTCACAGTACGACCGTTATACCATTGGGGAAGCAGCCACCGGTACCCATTGGATAGGACGCTGAGGCTGGGCCCTAGAGCACGTTTGGGCATGTGGAGAAAAGGGGAATCGAAACCTGATTCCTTGGTCGTGCGGACCGTAGACAGGTGTGATTGCTGCTCGTTAATGTGACCACGTCAGTCAGTGTCTGCAATACACGAGCATGAAGGTTGAGACAGCGAGCGGGTGGGAAAAGCGGTCTTCACGGATGTTTTCTTCAGTCTCTCCAGGCAACTAGGGATCAGGTCACTACAGTTTCCTTCCAAAACCTTTCCGCTTCATGTATTCTACCATTCGACGCTAAGTAGCGTATCCCTCTCCGGTTTGCCCCCCCTGGCCACGAACACAGGACCTGTGTGTCTTTGTTTTCTGTAATGAGCAACCTGACAATGGATGCAAATGAAGCCTAATGGCTGTTTCCCGCAACACCGCAGTTTTGTGTTGAAATGTTTGTGTGTCGGTAGTGTGCAAATGAGTCACGCCGGGCATCGCGTTGTCTTCATGCAGTTAGGCTTATACGTGTAGTACAAGGAACAGAGGTCGCTGTCTTGTATCCCTGGCATCTTACCCACGTATTGTTTGTGTGCAGTGGAGTTGCTGACAGCGTTGTGAAATATTACTCAGAAAAATGCATGTATGGTAAGTTTCGTAACTATACGGCTTATATTTGCTTAGAAAAGGCAAAGTTGTCCCTGTGCCTAATTAAGTAAGCACTGTGACATGAAGATATATGGGGCTATAGATGGAGGCGAGTGGTCAGCATCACGCCCCGGCCGCTGTACCCCCGGGGAAAGAGCCGATAGGAGGCTGGGTGGGCCCCAGAGCCGGTCTGGATTCGATAAAATGATCTTTGCAAATGCAGGACTTCTGCATAATTCCCACGAAACATGTTCTCCCCGCTGTCGGAATACGCGGTGGTTATTTCAGACGATATCGATTGCTAAATCGATTGTTGATGTCGCCATTCTGTTTGACAGGCGATTCCGAGATTGACGTCTTATATCCGGTGAGTTGCAGAGAAGCAGACATGTTTGGGAAATTTGCGTCAGTGGCTGGCGTGTGGTGCTATGGAGTATTTGCGCCTCTTAGTGGCCAGGAAGTTTATCCTGCATTTGCCAAGAAACTGGTTACCTTTCAAGTTCTTGTGCCGTTCATGCGCGGAAGCGAGTTTCATGTAACAGGTGCATGGTCTTTTTGCGGCGGTGATCACCAAGGTCACTCTTTTCGTCATTTAGATCCCGTGTAGTCAGGTCGTTACTGACATGCCGCCTCCATCTTCAGGGTGGATGAAGGCAGCAGTTGCTCTCCAGACAACATGGCGTCGTATCCCAGAAGACAGTGATCCTGAGTCTTATGGTATGTGCCACCCGACGTAACTTCAGAAGCAGTCGATAGATTTTTGTGAAACTTGGTATGAACGTCATTTGACTCAGAAACGGGCCCTCATGTGGACTTGCCAACTTGATGGCATCTGTAATATCGGAATGGTTGATATACGAACTTCTGAGATGGAAGCAACGCTGGGGCAACTTCTTTAAGTAAGGGCCTAGAAATGTTAAGTAATATGCCTCAGAATATACGTTTTGTTGAGGTAATATTTCAATATGAATTAAACAGTGATGTGGCTGTTGGGACTGGCCTCACATGTCAGAGCACAGACTTTGTTTTCCTGTACAGTATTGAACTTGAGCCAGTTCAGTCTCGCTGTCAGCGCGCGAGTGGGCAATCCCTAGGTCGGGGTCCGCTTTTCACTGCTTGTTTTACGAAATGCGGGGGGGGATAACAGGTGTAAACAGTTGCTCACCCTCCAGGAAGTGAAGTGTGGTGCTTTGGATGTGTGTTTGTGCAAGTACGTCAGCACACCTGGAGCATTCCGCAGTTCCAACTGTGGACCACGCATTCCGTCGCTCACTGTATCCAGGCTCAAAGCATTATTTTTATCTTATTATTCAGACCGTGCGGGTCTTTTTTGCTGCATGTACAACGTTAATCGTATAATTGCATGCCTTCATTACTGCAAAGACGTTGCCAAGCAACCGGCTGGAGGTTAGCAATGTTGCTGGACAACTTTCTTGTGCAGGTGGCTGGTGTTCCCAGAATAAGGTTACATCAGAACACAAATGCGGAATGGAGCAGCTACTGATTTCAAACGCCTTAGTGTTTCTGGCTTTAAACCTTTGAAGCATGAAGTTCATCCAAGTAATAATATTCATGAATATGCTTCCCTCACAGAAATCACCCTGCATCTCCATTACAAAGACCAGACTGTTATTGCTGTATGAGGAAAGAGTCACTGTTATTTTGAGAGTTATGCCTTGGGGACCTTGGGGACAAGAGGATTTTTTATTTGAAGGAGAAAGCTCTAGATCGCATTAAGTGGAGGAACTGTTTTGGAAGAGACTGTCGACCTGTCGTATGACAGATTACTGATGAAAATGAAACAAAACATAAATACATAGCTTTTTACTGTTAAAGAGGCAGTACTATGCCAAAAGTGCCACTTTAGCATCCCGACCTTCCATATCCATTTTTCATGTGAATGCCTACGACATTAAGTTGTATGAGGTAAGGAGACCAGGGCGGGCATGACCCTGACAACTTTCTTTCAATCGGTGCTGAAGGTCAAGAAGACTGAAGCTGTTCCTTCACAAGAAGGCCAAGGTTCACTGTGGGCTGGTGCCTTGATTTGATGATGTTTGCAGTTTCCTTCCATTTCTCCCTTCAATGCCAGGACAGGATTGACCACTCTCTCGAATGTTACGAACTCGACCAGTGTGGTTTTCCTTCCATTTCAATGAGAATTCGTGTATAACAGTGCCATCCAGTTTCTGGTAGTCAGTCAGTGAAACCATGGGGGTGGCCCTCATGGAATGAATAATTTGATATAGTTGTGCCATCAATGTTTGTCTGTCTGTTGAGTTGTTATTCACAGCAGCTAGTATTCAGATGGGCTTCTGGGTTATGACAGTAGCATAGTAGCATTATGTATAGGCCCCAAAGATGAAGGCGGTATGCTTCTCTGAAATGCTGGTTCCACCTACAGAAGTACATGATGCCAGAAGACCACAATCTGAAATGTCCGCTGACCTGTGTTTGTTTCCCTCTTGTTCCAGCAACTGAAGGATGCTCTCGGGGAAGTTGTTGCGGAAATGGAGAACATGGATACGGCGGATGAGGGGTAAGAATGTGCAGCACTGGTTTGATATATTTTCGTAATTTTAGTGCTATTCCTTTAAAGTTCTGGCCGCTATGCCTAACGATATTTATATGGAAAGCAGCCATATCCCAGTGGACAGATGGGCACTTCTGCTTGTCTTGATTATGTAGGCAAAGTTAGCTCCAGTTTCCTCTGTTTTCCCTCCTGATGTTTCAGTATCAGCTTGTTGGATCTCAGTGATACGAGAACTGCGGGTTTGCCCTGAGCCCTCTTCCTCCCTTCCTGTATCACTGCGTTCTTCCCTATGCGGCTCTCTCTTCTACTGTGAGCTTCTTCTGAGATGCTGGTAAATATATATTAATCAGGCAGTGTGGCTGCACATCCCAGAAGACAGCAGTAACCTTCGCGCTACATTTCTGTGTAGACTGACAGCTGAAGTTATTGCTGTTTGAAGGTTCAGTAGCAACTGAAACCCTTGGTGTGTCTTGGATTATCATTTCATTTGTAGTCTAATGTAAAGTGTGAGTCATTGGGAAGGGCAGGACTTTGGAGCCTGGTTTCCTTGCTTTATCTCCAAGAAGTCATGAATGCCTGCAGCTGCATATGTAAAATTGAATGATATGTTGATGGATGAATGTGATCGAGCAACATCCCCCCCCCAAATACAAGTCCAGTGTGTTCTACAACATTATGACTTGTTTCGGCTATCACCAGGAAGTACTTATGCAGTCACTCTCAGCTTTCTGTTATCATTCCCCCTCCATTGGTCAGTGTTTACGGTTGGGGAGGGGTTGTATTGTTTTTTGTTTACAATGTAAGTTTTTACTTGTAGACTTAAACGAATGCTGTAAATTATACAATTTTGTATCAGTTTTAAAATTGTTTTTATACCTTTTTTAAGCAAGTTAAAATATAAACTACTTAAATAGTTAAAATGAGACCAGTGTTGGTTAATTATTATTATTTCATAATCTTTATTACTTGACATTTGTTTTTATTTGGTTGTGTAGTCCTAGGTCCTGTGATGAGCACACGTGTTCTCTTGTCACATGCCACATTTATTGTATTAATTACATATGCGTATTGTTCCCATTTGAGTTTTGAATGATGGTCTTGTTGTATCTCGTGTTGTGTTGAAGGTGCAATATTGTAGTTACTGCAGAATTATATATTGGGAGACAAAGCAAATAAATGAATTTGCGGTTTTTTTCTTGTGTGTCCTAGTAAAAACAACACCAAGGCAAAACAGATGTCTATTGGACGCAAGAAATTCAACATGGACCCGAAGAAGGGGATCGAGTACCTGATTGAACACGGCCTGCTGAAAAGCACGGCGGAAGATGTTGCCCAGTTCCTGTGCAAAGGGGAAGGCCTCAACAAGACTGCCATTGGCGACTACCTCGGCGAGAAGAATGACTTCAACGAGAAGGTTCTCAAGGCATTTGTTGAGCTTCACGATTTCACTGACCTCATTCTGGTTCAGGCCTTGCGGTAAGTATCAATACCGTTTGTGCAGTAACATTTTCAGTAATGCTTCAGAAATGAGACGTTGCTGGTTTGTACGTCTAGTCCACATGGCAGAAGTTGTGAGATCCAGTGGTGTGGTGTGCAGTAGTTAACGTGTTTGTGAAGACCAAGCAGCTGTTGTTTAGGTGCTTCTCTGCCCCTTTCCTGTCCTTCATGGTGTCATGTAAATTCCAACTCTTATTTGGACTCAAGCACCATTTTGTATCAGATCTGAATTTTGCCAGTACTGTAAAAATTTGGGTGATTTTGAAATTTCTGTGGAAAGATAATATTCCCTATTTTATCTTTGCAGACAATTTCTATGGAGTTTTCGTCTGCCTGGCGAAGCCCAGAAGATAGATCGTATGATGGAGTGTTTTGCACAGCGATACTGCCAGCTCAATCCTAACATTTTCACAAATACGGGTGTGTAATTCAGTGGTTACTAAATGTAACAGCTGTTCTTAACATTTTGCCCAAACAGTGTATTTATTATTTCCGCAAACAGAATTAACAGATTAGTCTTACTCTTTTTGGCCTTCATATGACATTACAATATGCAGTTCCTAAATTGGTATTTATTTTTACTTGTAAATGTTACTTCATGGCATCAGTGTTTATTGAAACGTCATGATGCTGAGAAACAAAAACAATTGTGTTATAGTTCATTCATTCATTATTGGAGGGGGTGGGTTGCCCCATGCACTGCGAGCAGTTGTTGATCTATTGTACATCCCCCTTTGATATTCTACCATTCGCCATACCCTTCCGGTACTGGTGCTTGCTATCAGCCCCTTTCAGCCAGCGAGTTCGACCTCTCTACTGGCAGTGGTACCCGATACTTCCCCATCTACCGGAGGCATTGGAAACTACGTGGGTGGGAAACTTTTTACCTAATTTTGCTCAGAGGTCTCCTAGAGACATGAGGATCTTTTACGTGCTGTAAATCTACGACACGGGACCCACGGCTTAAAGTCCCTCCCGGAGGACTTGTTCCCTGAATTTTTCTGCCCTTAAAAATTCCACGACCTCCGCCGGGTTTGAACCCGCGTACCTTGAGTCATGAGGTGGGAATGTTACCCCTAGAGTACGGAGGCCGCTATTGTGTTATAGTTAATACAGCCTCTTGTGTTGTGTACTAGTTAATGAAATGCAACTATAGCAGACAGGTGTTTGTAATGGGGATGTAAGGTATTATCTGTGACATAGGAACTAGAAGCAGGTTCCTCCAAAGCATCGCTAGCACTGCACTGACTACATGATGTCACATCGCAGTAGGCAGTAGAAAATAGTCTTTGAGAGAGCTGATTTGTGACCGATGAACTGTTGCAGACACATGCTACGTCCTGTCATTTGCTATCATCATGCTGAACACAAGTTTACACAACCCCAGTGTAAAAGACAAGCCCGCTGTGGAGCAGTTCATATCAATGAATCGGGGCATCAATAATGGGGGGGACCTGCCCCAAGAGCTGCTAGTTGTAAGTACTTTCGTGCATCACGGTACACATTCTCAGACTGAGTGCCTAGTGGTAAGGAATGAAAGTGGGGCATGAGTAGGGTTGGCTTCTGAGTGCCTTGCTCAATAATTACAGAAGTGTAGCAGTGTAGAATGTAACATGAATTAAATAAAACCTGTAAATATTAACAAATTTATTGGGTCTAAATATCTTAAATATTTTGGTCTCCTTTCTGAGTTACGTATGTCTGAATTGCAGACTTGTGGGCAGGTACAGCACTGCAGAGGCATGAAGCTGGAGGCTGTATGCCCCTCCAAAGTGTAGCTCTCTGCAGACTGTGCATGACTGTAGCATTATTCACCAATGAGAACCTCAAAACTCGATAAATGAGGATTTCACTGTACATATATATATAGAAAAAAATGGATTGATTCACGTTTGTTTATTTGTTGTGGCCCACAGTTTGAAGATATTGTAAAAGCTTTCATTTGCATCTACGTCTGTTTAACCCCTGCCCTGTATTTATATAATTTTCATAACTGATAAAGTTAAGAGTCCTCATCTAAGGATATGCTGTCAGTTGGTATCTCTAACCTGGTCCTCATTAAGGGCTGTTAATAACTGTTTTCTCCTTCCCTCCCTCCCCACCTTCCTTTCTCCTGCTTCCCGGTTCATCTAGTTTATTTTCTTCTCTCCAACTTCCCCTTATGCCACTTCCTTCTTTTATTTAATTTTCTTCATAATCACTTTCTCCCACTCTTCCTCCCTCTTAAATTGCTAACCATGCTGCTCACTGACAGACTGGCCCTTTCCATGGCCTCTGGTCCCAGCCCTCCCCCCTCCATTTTTGCATCACTTCTGAAGAGGGAGACCCCAATCTTGTGCCAAAGCCTTTCCAGTTCCTTCATAAATCATCCTATCATTTGATGCTGCGCAGTCTGAGCTGCTGACAGTGTTGTTAAATAAGCCACAGGCAAATATATATATGCACACCATCACATCCCAGAAATACCGTATACGCCCTTAAATTTAAGACTCGTCCAGTTTTTGAATGTGCATTTTAGGAAAGAAATTAGAAAGGTGCACATCGCTCAGTTTTAAGATCGGGAAGTTGAATTTGAAGTAATATGGCAGTACGATGTGCGACAGCTGAGACGAAACCATTCTGTTTTGCAGAGTCTGTATGAGAGTATAAAGACTGAGCCATTCAAGATCCCTGAGGACGATGGCAATGACCTTATGCACACGTTCTTCAATCCCGATAAGGAGGGTTGGTTGTGGAAGCAGGGTGAGTTCCATCCACTTCGAGTATTGTATTGTGTTTAATCTTCATGAAGCTTCTCACTGTTGAGTGCAAGGCCCAGTTCCAGGTTGGGGTGGACAAACTGGCGCAGGAGCAGGGTTTTAGCCAAGCAGTTCTGTATGCTCAGATATTACCAGAAGGTACGCTAGTCCCTTGTGAGGCCCCAGTGCTAGCACTCCATGTAAACATGTCATCAAACCTTACGAATATGTTGATCACCAAGCACTGGCTGGGTCAGCGAGATGAAGCCTCCAACTTAAGACTGGGTGTGATAGTGTATCGTAGAATGATGACTAGCAGGGGAAAATGAAGGGAGTGGGTCCGAGGGTTTGCTTCAGTGCTGCTTTGTCCGCTGTGAATCTCACATGACATCACCAGGAACAGAACCTGAGACTTAGTCAGATAACCGCCTGATGTGTGCCATGGCCTTGCATGTTAATGTATGAAGTATAATTTATTTTGCAGTCTCTTCCTGTTTCTCCTATTCATGGTCTGTACAGTGAAGTTGTCAGTACTGCAGGATATACATATATATATCAGCAGCCATTTCCTGTCTGCAGGGGGACGGTACAAGAGCTGGAAAAGGCGGTGGTTCATCTTGAATGACAACTGTCTTTATTACTTTGAATACACGACAGACAAGGAGCCTCGTGGTATTATCCCCCTAGAGAACATTCGAGTACGAGAAGTGAGTGATCGACACAAACATCACTGTTTCGAGCTGTATGCCAGTGGCTCAGACTTCATCAAGGCTTGCAAGACAGACAGCGAAGGCAAAGTGGTCGAAGGTCAGTGAATTTAATGTTATGGCTGGTGGATGGAAAGAGAAAGCAGATGCATCACTTCACACACAAGCAGAAGTGATAATTGGATATCACTTGTGCTTGTGTGTGAAAGGTGCGTAAGGCTTCCCCCACCTTCAGTTCCTCCAATCAGATGCTTGCATTGTACAGACAGTTCCTTTGATTTATGCTGCACTTGCGTTTCCAAGTAGTTCTGCCTTGAATGTGGCAATAAGTGGTGGACGTGTGATTTACACCATGACCATTTTCAGTCCCCTTTTTGTCCAGTTTTTTTTTTATTTAGCCCACCAACAGTCACGTCAATTGAAGAGCAGTCCTTGGTTAGAATGCCACATGAATAGAAAGTGAAGAAATTAGGGACTGATTTTCCAAAAATAATGAAACTTAGTGCATGAAAAAACAAAACATCTGATAGCCTGTGTCACCCAGAGAAATGCTGTTTTGGTGTGCAGCTGGGTGCGCACTCTGTGTACTGCCTCAGACAGTTGCCTGCCTGTTTCTTGTGGTGGTGAGAACTAAAAGCGAACGGTGCGTATCCTTGATCTGCACTTTACCACAAATGTGCACATTCAAAGCACATGTTTGAGAACTTGTGTACCTTAAAACAGACCATAATTACATCCACCCTCTTGCTCAATGTACAATTAATAATCATCTTTTTTTTTTCACTAATTCGCCACTAAGGAAATAATCGTTAGTGTTCCAGTCATCTGTTTATATGTGATCTCTGTTCTTAAACTGGCTGTGTCACCCACATTCACCACTTGTCTGCATAGTGTGTCCCTCTTCTGCTCTTGCCGAATGGTGACCTTCCAGTTTCATCTGTTCCTGCTTTTTCATAGCACTGGTGGAAGGGAGGCGAACTAGAATAAGGAAAGAGTAGACAAAGAGAGGGGGGGACAGTTTGTATTGAAGCATAAACAGCATAAACACTTATTGGTGAGAACTGCAAAAGGATCTCTCTCTCTCTCTCTCTTTTTTTTTTTTTAAGTTCTAGAATCTTCACTGATCCTAACAAGTGCAGAATTTGCTTGTGGCATCATAATGATTGTGGTATGTTTTGTTGAAGGTAAACACACGGTGTATCGCATGTCTGCGGCAACACCCGAGGAGAAGGATGAATGGATCAAATGTGTGAGGTGAGTGCATGTACAGCTGCTGGGGCACCGGCTTGCATTGGGTTTTCCTGTTTTGCAGTGCAGGACATCATGTACTTTGTATTATTTTAACTCCATCCCTGAAAGTAACTGACATGTGCAGGATCTGCACTGTTTTAAGCTCAGAAATTTATTGCTGTGTTTTCTGCATTTTGCAAGGACTAAGTGGGTTGTTATCCTGCTTCTTCGTGCCTGTGAGAGATGGAAAGAATCCTTTGTTTCTTTGCTCTCGTCATCACTTTTGTACGTTTATCTCCTTCCCATGTTTCTCCAGTATTGCTTTCACATCCTCTCTCATTTCTTCCCGTTCTCTCTGCTTCATGTTAAAACAGTTTTGTTCATCTCTCCCCTCCATACATCTACCCCCATCCCACCTTCCTCCCATGTTCTGATGTGTTCCATTGATCCACCCCGTGTCGTGTCCTAGCAACAACGGAAGATAGTTAAGGTCTTCGTCATATCCTATATCAGTGATGCTGCAGTCAAGTTTTCTGGATTCTGTGAGCCAGACAGAAACTTATTATTATATGACAATTTTAAGTCGGAGATGTGAGAGTGTGCGCTTGCTGGGAGACATAGTAAGGTAAGTATTTGAAAATTATGTAGTAAACAGAGGGACCTTTACTGAGCTGCCTTGTCTGATAGTTCCTGCTGCATTATTCAGTTTGCATGCAGTGTGTTCACTCATCATCATGACTGTACAAAGAGCTCTGTCATGCAGTCAGTGGAAGAAAGTGAACTGACATTTCAGAGGAACATGCCGCGTGCTCGTCCTGTAGACGGAGGCGACATGTTCCCCCAAAATGCCGCTGACTTTCAACAAGCTGCACAGAGTAAAGTTGCAGAAGGAGAAGCTCAGATCCTGCAGTTTGAATGTGTTCATGTTGCAGGCAAAGCATCAGTCATAACCCATTCTATGATATGTTGGCTGCTCGCAAAAAGAAAGCCCAGAAGACAAGTGCCCACCATCACCACCACTCCAAAAGTTAAAACTGATTGGATGTTTGATATCGCATCGCAGCTTGTGCCCACAAGATCTGGACCTTGTTGAGCTAGAATCTTATATCTTCCAGTGTTGAAACGTTTTGTGTTGGACTCCTGTGTCTGCATTCTAATTCATTAGTAGTGTGTTCCCAGGTTCTGTCAGTATCTGTAACTACAATGTGTTTCTGAAGGTGTGTATGAGCACTGCGTGTATGTATACTGTTTATCACGAATTAAGTGTTTATAGCTGAATGAATGTGGAATGTTGTGAGTGCTTGAATGGTGTTACCTGTATCCAAAATAAGTTTATTTTAATGAACTATGATATACATATATATATATTCTTACTGACAAAACAAAGTGATTTGTGGTATTTATTATATATTGCAGAAATTGCCAAATAGGTCCATATTAATTCCCAGATAAGCATTCTGTACATATTTATCAATGTGCATTTATTTGGCAAATGTAGAAGGTGCATTTGAACTAAACGGATGGTTGAATTATAGTGAGGCTATGGGAACAGTTCTCATGGATTGATCCCCCCCCCCACATCTTTATCGAGCTGTTGTGCTTCCTCATCCAGGGTACTTCCCAATTTTGATATAAAGGAATGTTACAGCATTGAGGCTGGCTTTTCTGGGTTAGTGAGTGCTGTATGGGACTGCAGCAGTGAGCAGAGAACGGAAGCTACGCTGTCATCCAATTGGAGTCATTAAATTAGGCGGCCATGCGACAGTAGTTGTGAGATAGTGTTTTGGGTCGAAGACATTTTGTATAACGAGCTGTAAGTGGGGTTAGATCCTGTGTTTAATTTGTTATGTTGTATAGAAGTGCAACATGTCTGACTGAATCATCTGTCAGCAGAAGGATCATGAGGATTTCTGATACTGCATCAACTGCTGAAGCCAGTATCTGTTATGTGTTGGGCCTCCATCATATGATTCCCATTCTGATATGACTCCGAGACAAAATAATGTTTAACCTGTGAGTGTGAGCACCGGGAATAGTATCTTGATGACATTCCTTCTGTCGGTGGTGTCACGCTGTGGTCCACAGATAGTTTCATAATAAATTCATTTTCACACAACTTAGCAAGGTTATGTATCCTGTGGCAGACAAAAGTCGCGGGGGCTAGAATTAAACTCAGGGCAGTGACAAAAACAGCATGGAGAGGCTGATAATTACTGTACGTGTCACTTGACAACGAGAAAGTTTAAGTGCACTTGAGATCTCTTGTATAGACACAGGCATGGACATGCTCTTCTTCATTCGCGTACAGACGTGTAGTATAGTTTTCTGCCTTCAGAACATTGGACGTGTTCAGACAGATTCTGGTTCCAATCAGAGAGAGTTCAGATCGCTGTCCTGGGTTGTGACACCCTGTATGCTAGAACCCCTTATGTAACATTAATTTTCAGTGATCCCAATTAAATATATTTCCTCTATTTAGAATTCTTTCTGAGTTAAAAACATTCAAATCTGCTTTTCCTCAAGGAGACCTTAAATGGGGGATGGAGGGGGTTCCTGTAGTTAGGTAGGTGGTACCCACATTTCAGAAGAAGCTGCCTCCATTCTCACGTAGAGCCAGTACATGCCTCCGATATGTTGGTACCACTGCATGGTGTCACATCCGAAACTCTGTGATATGCATCAGACATGGTTCTAGTTTGTTTAAGGCAACTAATGATTGAACTGCCTTCTTCAGACACTGTAAATATTAGCGGAATGTCTTAGTCAGCACCAAAGAACTCTGATAATAGATCATGTAGTGCAGTAACGTGCTGAGAGATGACGTCTGTGTGTCAGTTAACGGGGCTCGACTTGTTTGTGTGAGTTTGCAGGCCAGTATCTCCTTAGTTATGCAACAACGAAAATTACAGTGATTGTGTGGCGCAATGACAGCAAATATGTTTATTGTATAAGATTTGAGGCTTTCACGGCAGTGACTATGAAGAAAGCAGTCTTCTGGGATTTGGCACCATGTATATGTGGTGTTAACCGACGTTTTGGAGGAACGTATCGCCTCCATCTTCAGGGTAGAAGGAAAAAATAAGAAATCCCCAAGCGAAGAGACCATGAGAACCGGTTTTACGTCGGTTAACACCACATATACACGGTGCCAAATCCCAGAAGACTGCTTTCTTCATGTTTATTGTACTTCAGAATTTGTATTGATGATGAAATTGTTACACTGCTAGAACCTGAAAGTGTTGTTGCCAGCAGTTACCAGAAATGACCATTACAAAGAGTGGCAACTGAACTGGCGTAACTTATCCTTCATAGAGTCAGTTATGCTACTGTGGCTTTGTNTTTTTTTTTTTTTTTTTTTTGAAGCTGGGTTAAGGAAAACACAATAAGAAAGCTGTATGGAAAACAAAGTGCATCTGAAATATAAAGTGGCACATTCTAGGAACATAAAACTATATGTATTGTTGGCTGACGTTTTTCTGCAGAGTGAAGGCAAGTTTTGTGGGAACATCCAAATTTTTAAACTTGGAACAAACTTGAACTTTGACACAGATGTAGTTCCAAAATTTAAAATATTTAATTTCTTTCTGTTGCCATCCGTACTGTGTACCCCTGGTTAAGGTTGTATAATGCTGTTTATGCAATGCATGGATGCCTCATTATCGCAAAAAAATAAACAAAATGACACAAAAACACATCCTTATTAGACTTCATGAGGTTTTGGTTTCCTGAAAATTGAACAGAATGTTCCTAAACATTAATTGTGAAGTAAAATTTTATTGGCAGTTGTCAGTGCTGACTTCTGTTAAAGTCTAGTGGGTTTTTTTAAGAATTTTTATTTGGAGTCTTAAATGAAATGATGGTAGCCAGTGATTGTTTAATATGGAATGAAGTTTAATCAAATTTAGTCGCAAATTCCATTAAAATTTGTGTTAGTCAAGAGCAGAGTTTTCATGAGTTGAAGCAGGACTACAAACGACCTCAAATACCATGCAATGTACCAGCAACTTTGATTTATCATATCACCTGGTCCGTAATAAACTTTCTGATTTAGTTCTGTAAAATTTTTTGCAAAGAAGTGGTTGTACAGTTTATATAACAAAGCGAGAGAAGGAGTCTGCTAACAGCCAATAGACGAAGTTAGTGTGCAAAGCTTGGAACTGCATTATGTCCCAGAAGATAGAACTCTTCTTAGTGAAAATTTGTTTACTTAGAATAGTCTTCAGGAAACAATGTGAGATACTAATAGTATTATACTATTATAATGCCGAAGACACTTCATCTTGTAAATGTAAATATAAAATCAGGGTCTCTGTGAGGTAAATTCTTGTTTCAACAAACTTCACTTTTACTAACCCCAGACTATTGACATTCTTTCAGTGCAGATGCAGTTTGTACGTGACAGACAGAAGAACGATTTCTCAAATGGCAGTTCAAATTAGCTATGCAGGCTCCTTGTAAAGGACTGAGCCAGTTTTAAGGAGTTCTGGTTGTTAATGGGTTCTGAGTGTGCTAGACAAAATTCCACCTGCAAGTCACAAACTTTGATATGTTTGTTTATCAGTGTTAGAACAGAATGGAAGGGATGATATAAATAAAAAAACTAATCAGATTTCTCACATAATTTGAAGCCTTGTGTTGAGTACATTTGGAATGCGTTATATTGCCACCAGCACCACCATTTTGATAAACTCTTAAAGCTGCTGGAAGATTTCAGGTCTTCACAGTAGTGCAGGTTCATATTTGTTGTCCTCTGGGTTATGACCATTAGTTTGGTATGTGGATGCCGACATTTTGACGTTCAGGACAGAAGGTGGTGGCAATATGTTCCTCCAAAGCATCAATACCACCTACTGGACAAGACTGCCACAGCCCAGAAGACTACATTATGAATTTTCAGGTCAATGTATGCAAGGCTTCTTCTGATCATGATGGAATTATTCTGAAATAGGAGCTCATGAATTTTGTTCTGTATGATTGCCAGTGCTGAAGTTGCTAATGTACCCCACCATTAATTCCAAAATAAAATAGCACGATAAAACTGCCCTATCCTTGTGTCATAAGGTTCCAGGCATCATAACCTTCATGTGCAAATTTACTGTCAGAAGTTTCCAAAATTACCACTGAAATTTACCGTCACTGTCACAGTCTGACATCCATTCTACTAACTCATCTCTGCAGGAACGGCAGGTGGTGGGAGGCACATATTCTCAATCAGTTTGTGTTGCAGCGAGGCTGGAGATAAACAGGATGGGCAAAGGCAAGTAGGAAAGTGAGCAGTACAAGTCTCTGCACTTGAAATTCAGGAAGGAATTGCAGAGCACGCAGGGGGAATAAAATACAGTGAAGTCCACAAACAGATCATCAAGAATTGGGAGTGGGTGAATCAGAAACTGCCTTTACGACAATAAAGCTCTTGCTCTGATGATGCACCTACATAGCGTGTGACTCCTTTGTATATGCCCTAAAGACTTTGCCTCGATTACCATTGTTGCAGGAGAGGTAACAGTGAAATGACTTTTTATATAGCAGTTCCATTTGTATCATTTGGTCATAGGTTTAAGCTGTTCAATAGAGATAACTGTTCTGTTTTATATTGTAATGGTAACCTACAAACTTAGTTCCGCCATTGCTGAAATTGGTTATCTTATGTGTCAGCAGGTGGCAAGACAGAATTTTGTTCACTGATGTCACACGCAAGAAACTTTTCAAACCAAGTATCTTGTTTATGTAGTGTGAGAACATTATTATGGTCATGTCGAGTTAGTGTTTCTGGGGTCTCTTGTATGGGATTGTGCTTCAAGCCATTCTTCAATTTCAGAATGCGGATCTTGGAGGTGGGGCATACTCAGGTCTCTCCGTACTTGTGTGCTTCACCAAATATTTTATATACATGCCAAAGAATGTTTAGTGTGAATGAATGTGTGTGTTTGTTTAATGATGATGTCTCATTATCACATGCTGCAGAGTCGGTGAAGCTTTACACTGCTGAGTCCATAATATGGCGTCCTTGTTATGCCCTTTCATAGTATGTACACAGACTTGGTGGGTGTATGGACAAGATGAATTTGCCCCTGGCAAAAAGTGATGCCCGCAAGTTTTCCCCACGCATCTCTGTAATATAAAGTTTGGGTTAGTGTACACTAAGTCAGCTTGTGTTCCATTTCTCTTTGTTTTCATATTTACAGACAAATACAAATGTAAGTCAGTGTGGCTGAGCAGTGAAAAGGCTAACAGTTTGTTTCTGCATAAGTCATGTCTTCCTGTCCCTTGGTCTTATGCCTTCTTTTGTACTCAGATTTTTGTGTGTTTCATATAGAATGATTGATTATTCATAATTTTATTTGATTATGTATGTATATTATGCTGTAAATTTTAAGACAGTTTATTTTATGTGTCATTTATTGAAAAGTGATAATAATTTGATATATATTAAGTCCAAACCCAAATGTTTAAATTTGACATAGAATTATATTTTGTATTTAAGCAACAGGTTTACTTGAAACTTTTTAATAGTGTGTATAGTATTAAACTAGTTTTAAAAATTTAGTTTCAGCATAGCCAGCTGTCTTTTAATAACAAGCCTTTACAGTACATGTGTGTATGTGTGTGTGTGTGTGTAACTATAGTAAAATCAAA